CCAGGAGTAGAGCTGGAAGACGGATGCACAAAGACAGAATTTGGAGACCAGTTGGTTCTGCCTCTGGGCCGGAGTACAATGCTGAGCTCCTGTCTATGGAAACGGGGTGCTAGTAATCCCGGGTGTGCAGTGGGGTCACAACGAACAAGCTATCACCTGCGGCTGATTGCCGATCATGGTGACAGTGAAGAAGAGTCAACCAGGAATGAGCCGACTGGGAACACCCAGTGCCGCTGGCCTGGACTGACGGGGTCGCGCACACCACTGCCCAGCGTGTCACGGCAGCAAAAGAGAAGACAGCACCCTGAGACAACGAAGAGACGCCCCTTCCTCCTGCCGTCCCTCCAGAACCCTCCAGGGACAAAACGCAACATCGTGCCAGCTGGCAAAGGCTCAGTCCTGTCCTGGCGTTACAAAGGTGGGTGCCCAGCGCGGACCGGAGCTGAGAAGCAGCACCTCCGTGGGGCCCTGGCACACCTAGCAAGGGGAGGACAGTAAGAGTAACGATGAGGGAACAACATGGAAACTGCCAGGGCGCGTGTGCTCCACGCGGTGTGGGAACGTCTGCAGACTCCGCGTCTCCCAGGAATACGGTGGGGTCACGTCTCCCTGGTTCCCGCGCGCACACCAACATTCAAACGTAAGAGAACTCGCATCCATCCCAAAGACCGAGACTGACACCTGGGGTCTGGGAGGCTCCCCTGGTCTCCGAAAGCCTGTGGGCTGAATAGAGAAACATCCCTGGAAGCCGAGGCGTGCCCCACCCCCCGAAGAAAAGGCAAATAAGGTGGGGAGCCACGCTCAAAGAAGAGAGGAAAATGGGGTGTCCTTTCTTCATTCCCTGGCCCCTGCAAAGACCAGGAAGTGGCACCTCTCTTCGAGGGTCACGGGTCTGTTCTCCATCCATCAGTCCTGATCAGTACCCCCCTTTCTTTACTCCTTCAAGACTTCAGGTCAGGGGGCAGAAAGATTCTGGTGGAGTGGCATGGGAGGGGGCGGGGAGGGAATTGGCAAATGCTGCTGGACCCTGAGATAAATATCCCCAAGGTAAAAATGCTACAGATCCGAAGTATGCCAGAGGCTTGAGGCCACGAGATACATTTTCGGAATAAAAGCTTGGAGCAGCTTTCTACAGCGAAACCCTACTGTCTTTGTAAACAGTTCAGTGAAGCAATGTGCCCTGGGCTCGCTGGCAGTCAGGATAGAGAGAGGGTAAGAATAAAAGGAAGGCAAATATTTATCACACAAATACAAACAAAAGGAAAGCGGGGATGGAAATTTTAATCCCAGACCAAGCGGAATACAAAGACAAAAGCATTTCAAGGGACCAAAGGGTTGGCAAAGAGGGTCGACCCTAATAAAGAGGAAACAGCCACCTAATTATTTCACATCAAATTATAAAAAGCCAGAACTGTTTGAAACACAAGGAAAAAGTGAAGAGAGCACAGTTGTTTAGAAGGTTACCCTGCATTCCCAACCTTTTCTAGAGCAGGAAGGACCAAGAATCAATAGGAGAAAAGGTACAAATGCCACTGTCATAACCACTTATAACCACTGTCATAAGCCCCTGCCCTGGAGATAATGCCCTTCAGAAGATTCAACATCGGATCTGATGGATACACCACTAGGTAGGGTCAGAGAAGTTACAATCAATGTTTTCTTTGGGGTCATGTGACTGGAAGAACAAAACTCTATTCAGAATCCCCATCAGCGATTCGCTCCTATTAGTGAATTCTTCTAGCCTGGACCTTGTGAATTTCCAAAGTAAGTAATAAGAATTCCGGTTATCTGCCAGCGAATCCACTCACAGGCGAATTAACCTGTAAGCACCTGGGTTACTTCTCGAATCCACTCCAGATCCCACTGCACTGATCAGAAAGAAGATCCCCACTTTCCAAAGTCATCGACACAGTCCTGGATTGGTTGAGGGATCTACTCGATACTCTGGCTCACGGGACGCCATGGCACGTTAGCAGGGCCTTTCTCTAAAGTGGCTGGAGCTGGAGACAGCTGGAAAGTAAGGACGAATCGAGATCTTATTGACCACTGGGGGCCAAAACCTGAAACACTAGACTTGGTTTTCAAGACCAAGGGCTCATTATCAGCACACTAAGCCCAAAGGGTCATAAACTGGATGGCCATCACAGCAGAATGGGAAGCAAGACGAAGAGAGAGATCAAAGCCAGTGGGTCCGAGCCAAGGATCGTGAACGTCACTGGAGAGCCAGACTAGGATTACTGGCTCTCGGCTGAGCCTCCGTGGGCCAGTTAGGCTGGTCTCAAGATGCAGTGTGGTGGGACAGACAGGTCATTTGCCATTACTGGTCAGATACAAAATGGATAACACATCAGCTACTGCCAGGCCTCTGTCAACTCCCCCTTGCCCATTTCAGTATTAATGGCATTTGGGTCATAAGGGGTAAGAAGGAGGTAGCCAGGAATCCCTCTCACTATGCCCAGAATTTGAGGGTTTCATTATTATGGTCTACCTACCTCTACAACGGGGATTGATACAAGGATGCAAAAAGACTTCTTCTATTCTTTGAGCGCACGGAGGGATTCATATTTTAAATCTGTTCACAAAGCAAATATAGGGGATCTACTCAGTTCCCCATGTATCAAAACTTACTATGCTGCACTGACGTGCTGGTGGAGAAGGAAATGCCACTTTGCACGGTTCTTGTCAGTCGATGTGGTCTGGAGTTGCGTATGCATTCCAGACACACTCTGTGGCGACTGGAGAATCGTATCTTATTTCTGTTGGTTTGCACGCATATGAAACTTGCTCTTCCCCCAGTGCCAAGTGAGAATAGGGGTGGAACTAGCAGCCGTGCAGCAGTGATCACAGTTAATCAACTTCTTTGTCAAAATGTCACAGCTGCGATGGTGAGAATTCCCGTCCCTCAGGTCAACAGAGGCTGTGACTTCTACTTTTCTGGCTTGCTCATCCAGTTCTGTTCCCCAGAGCTTGGCGAGATCAAGTCTGTAACTGCCACTCAACACGCAGTGTCTGACCCCTCCCATGTGCCAGGCCCTCTGCTAGGTACTGAGATACTGAGCAGACTCCCCACTTGCAGGGATCTCAGAGTCCAGTGGGAATGAGCAGCAAGTAAACAGGATGAGAGCTGCTTTCCTCAGGGTGGGTTCTGTGCAAGACCCTATGGAAACAGGGAGGGAGTTTGCCAGAACTCCACAGAAGAAAGTGGATCCTGATGGTAGGAGCTGAAGTGAAGGGAGACTGGAAGGTAGTCAAGAAAGTAGGAACACTGTGTGCAAAGACATTAAGCTCATCAGAACACATGTTGCAGGGACCTGGAAGAAATTCTGTATGGCTTGAGGCCAGAGGTAGAGCCAGGGGAGAAAACAATTTGAAAACGCAGGAGAGAGAGGCAATAATTCTAGGAAGCAATGCTGTTTTAATAGTCCACGTTCTTGTGTTAATATTGGAAGATGTTTGCTCACTAAGAAGACTTAAGAGTTGCCGATGAACTAGCTAATGTTCCCACTGTGTATTATCCTGACTCTACCTCTTACTGTTTCTCCCTGCCTAGCACTTGCAGCAATGCCTGGCACCCGAGTTCGCACTTAATGAATGTAACTACTACTACTGCATGGGGTAGAGGGACCTCTAATGACCCGTGCCCTCATGCAAACCCCTCCCCTTAAGTATGAGCTGGATAGATGGATGCGTTTCTAAGGAACAGATTATACCAGAAGTGATGGTTGTCACTTCCAACCTTGTGTTATAAAAACACTGGGCCTTCCCTTTTGGGCAGGCTCTTGTGTGCTCAAGTGCTCTGGCTCTCTTTGTCTCTTGGATCACTAGTGGCCATGTCATAAGGACAGGACAAGCCCACGTGGCAGGGAATGGAGCCACGCCCACATGAGCATGCCCACTGTCAGCACCTGAGTGAGTGGGGTTGGACGCAGACCTCCTGAGGTCTGCCAGCAGCCACATGAGTGAGCTTGGAAGGGAATTCTCCAGCTCCACTCAAGCCCTGAGGTTACGGCAGCCTTGGCCAACGGCTTGATAGAAACCTCGGAAGAGACGCCGAGCCAGAGACACCCAGCTGATGCGCACACAGGTTCCTTGCCCGCAGGACTGTGATAAGCCACAAAATGTTGGTATGATTTGCTACACAGCAGAAGCTAGCTAAGACACTGTACTAGCACAGTCTATTCCTGTTCCTTAACCTAGACGGGACTTCTGGTATACCTAGGTTGGACGTGATGGTTTCAGACTTTCTCTTTGGTGATGAAGCACAGCTTGGAAACCCAGCTTTTGTGACCAGGATCCCAGTCATCTGACACCTCGCTCCTTCAGGGGCCGAACCCTGTTGCCCAGTGTCCCACCCAACTGATCAGACCGTTCATGGAATGAGTCTAGCCCAACTTGTTTGGCATGCTGCCCCCATCAGGGCCAACATTGGGTACACCACACTGTGGATTATAGTCCCTCCACTGGCAGCAGCTGAGGTCCAGGGAACCTCTCTAGATGATGACAATCACAGATGTCCACATTTGGCTAATGTGGTCTTGCTTTTCCACAGGTAGCTCTAATCGGTTACATCACACGCCTTAGACGCTAATTGTCAGACTTGCTATGCACACTGTCCAGGTGGGAACAAGTGGAAAAACATGGATTGCTCTGGGAACACTGGGTTTTTGGCAGCAAATTTTTGGCAGTTTATATAACCAGGTTAATTTAAAGGCAGTGGTTTTATATGTAAAAAAGATTTTAAGACCTTGTAAAGACGTTAAATATTTACATAAAATATTATGCTCCGCTAAGGAATGAAAAACAAAATATAAAACCCAAACGTGCCTTCTCCCAGTGGTTCGGTGCTCACTTCTTGTGGCTTCGTAGCGGGGCTTCAGCTCATTTTTAGTGAGTGATTAAGCACCCGCTCCACACACAGCTCTGTGTGTGCAGAAGAGAGCAGTTCCTCTCGGCCACAGGGAAAGAAAGGAGGAAGGGAAGGAAGGAAGGAGACTTTGTACCTCTGTCCCTGATGATTTTTCCCCTCGTGCTCTGGGGCGCAGTCATTGGGAACCGACGGACTCGTGGGGGAGGCCGTCCTGAGAGCCACGGCCGAGACGCCCACCCGCGGGGATGAGAAATTCAGCAACACCGAGGCCGTGCAGTGGGCGAGGACATCCAGGTGACGGGTCACGTTGACCACCAGTGGGTTGTGCTGGCATGACAGCTCGTAGGTCCCTGAAGAGACACAGGACATGAATCACATTCTAAGCCACTCGCGTAGCTCAGCAACTTCCCACCGGCGTGCTGCAAGGATCTCTGACCCGTAATACCTGACTGTGTAGTCGGCACTGGCCTCTTGCCCTAGACTGTCAGACCGAACAATGACAGCAGCCAACACAACAGTCGCTGTCCAGTGTAAATGCCTCAAAATCATACCTATTTTTTTTTGGTCAGATCGGCAAAAAATGTAATCTATTTTTTGGTGTGCCGCGGGATTTTAGTAGTTCACGCGTGCCATGCTGTGAAAACGGCAGAGACTCGCTGACGTCCCACCGTTTTTCCCTCTCTGGTATTCCTTACACCCTCTCAATAGCTCTGTGACATACACAAGGTCCCAGACGATGTCGGACACAGCTAGGGAGTTGACTCCTGTCTACGGGACTGTCCTCTAGTGGCCCTCCAGGGAGAATCGTCAGACTCACCAACAGAGTGGTTGTTTCCACTGACATCGGTCAGGTGGACGGTCACCGTTGGCCGCTGACGTTTCCCAGATACCAGGCCATCAGACGTGAAGAAAATGAAAACTGCCGTGGCCACTCCGGGTCTATTGAAACACACCTAGGCATAAGCACACGTATGTGTGAGCTGAGCTCTCCACTGGGCTATCGAGACACATCAAGGAAGAGCCCTCTCCTCCCTTATAAACCAGAATACGGAGTAGGCACAGAACGATGTTTAAGGACGCAGCAAAAGCTAAATACAATCGGATGAAAAGAAGACCACTCTCAGCTACAGAGCCCATCTATTTCTGAGGTTTTTTACCTCTACCATTTCTTTTTCGCTTGAACCAGTCTTTCTTTAAATGTCTCAAAAGATTACAGCTCCATTGTTGGACACAGTCAAGCACCACATGGCCAGCCAATACCTCCTGGTCTCCAAAGTGAGAAAAGGGGACGAGACGGTCATGGAGCTAACGTTTTCCTCTGAACCGGCACAGCTGATTGTCCACCCCCCTCCCCGTCTCCCCCTAACATTTTTACCAGGACCTCCCACTTAGCCCGTGAACTATGACATGGGGGAGCGGCTACTGCAGAGTCTGTCGTTTCTGAGATTAGAAGCTGCCAAACTGTTTATTCTTACGCGGGTCTCCAAGCATGATGTCTTGTCCTTGGCTGGAAAATAAGCCAACACCGAGGCACAATAAAACCTGCTTATTCATAAAGAATATTCCTAGATAGTTAGGCTGATGAATAATCAAGCAGTCTTTCAGAGTAAACTATGGAAGGCTTGTCCCTGGAAATTCTTTAATGTAAAAGGAACACATCGTCACGATGAGGAATGACCTGGAGAGCTTATTTTTCTCACTGAAATCATCTGAGGCAGTCCTTCTAGTTTTGTTTTATTACTAATAGCTTGAGATTACTCTCTTTTTTTTTTCAGATTTGCATAGGGGAGTTTTTATTTCTATATAAGACTGTATTTACTTACCCTTTGGATTATATACATATTCAAGATATTTGCTTACTGATTGCAGAGTATTTTTAGTCTGTAAAGGGACAATTAAATATCCTTTTATATAGCAAGGGGGTGGGCATACTAGGAAGCCATAAGTATATTTGACTCTTTATTTATTTATTTTTTTTATCCTCACCTGAGGACATTCTTTTTGCATTTATCTTCAGATAGAGCGGGAGGAAGAGAGGGAAGAAGAGAGAGAGAGAAACATCGATGTGAGAGAGACATCGAGTGGCTGCTACCCACACGACCCCAATCAGGGCCGGGGACAAACTGCAATCGAAGTACATGCCCCTAGCGGGAACTGAACCCGGGTCTCTCCAGTCCGCAGGCCGACGCTCTAACCGCTGAGCCAAACCGGCCAGGGCTCTTTTTTCGTTTTTATTATTGAATTTATTGGGGTGACAATGGTTAATAAAATTATATAGATTTCAGTGGTACAATTCTATAATACATCATCTGTATACTGTGTTATGTGTTCAAAATCACTCTTACTTTCTGTTGAGAAGAAATTCCAACCTCCCCTGGTGTTCCATAGGAGTCAGTCACATTATTAGAACCTGTGTACATTTCTCTAGCTTTTTATCAGGTTCCAAGGGCGATGAAGCCCCAAGAAAACCGTCCTCCGAGTAAAAGCAAGGTCCACATCAAATGGCAGGGGCCTCCTCTAAAAAGTAAAACATGTTTTCCATTTTAACGAGAATTCTTCGTTGTCTACAGGCTGAATTTTTCTGAGTCTTGGCAGTGTGTTTACAGTGTTCGTTTGCACTGCTGGCTTAATGAGGGGGTTTTATGATCTGTGGTGGTCGACGAAGTACAAGTGTCCCTTCTTCCTCTCCTCCTTTGAGGGAGAGACCAGCCACACTCCTTTCACAGTCTCTTTCTCCCCCCTTTTTTTTCATGTCCCCTCTTTGAAGTAATAAATATTTCTTTACAACTTAAGAATATCCTGACCCATAGGCTATGGCTTGCAACACGAGGTCCTTTGTCCCTGGCTACATGAGGGCTAGACGTGAAACGCACAGGAAGGTGACCGACCGCTCCATGCGAAGCCCTCAGCTCCAGCAGCAGAGGACATCAAAGTCCCCTGGGAACGCCCACAGCCTCCTGCTTTTCGCACACCACCAAGGAGTCCTGGAAGGAAGCTCTGGGTTATTTCCTGAGCCAGGAACAGACAGAGTCCAAACAGTACCTGGTGGCTTCGGCGAGGAACAGGGGAGCTCAGACTTCCCACCTTCGGTCAGAGTCCCAAAGAGATACCACCCACGTGAAACTAATTGGCAGGGGTGGGTCTTATGGTGTGGATTTCTCTGTTCAGAGGGCCTGTGTCCAAAACCTCCAACCATTTCACATCTCCAAGAAATGTGTCTCCTTGCTCCAGGGTCTTTGAGCACCAAGCACTGTGAACCCTGGAGCCGGCTCCTACGGGCAGTTCTCTGGGCTTCGATTTGTGGGAGTGCTTATGCCGGGGTGCCCAGGCCCTGGCTCCCGTAGAAAACCCCAGGAGAGACTCACAAATGAGACCGAGGCAGAGGAATGCTGGGATACACAAGGCAAAGAATGGCAGGGATCCGATAAGGGTACAAGATGCCCACTCCTGGGCATTTCTCCTCAAAGCGACACAGAAGAGGTTGCCAAATTCCATTCTCATCTGAACACCCACGAGGCCCCAAAACAGCAACTGGAAGCAAGGAAAATATCAGCTGTCTCATGCGGCTGCTGCTCTTGAAATCAGAGGTTCACATCTGCACACAGGTGCCTAATCAATCTGAATGGGCTAAAAGGGACCAAGTAGTTCACCATTCCGGAGAGAGGGCTGGCCAGGCAGAACCTGTGTTTGACTATTGGCCCCCTCTTTACTCACTGGGTAAATCTGAGCGACCCATCAACTCTCCTCTCCGATCCTAAGGTTCCTCTTCCCCTCATCTGAGAAACAGACATTTGACCGACCTCATGAGGCTACTCTGAGGATGACATGAAATCACTTGGAAATACACAGGAGAGTGCCTACCATCTAATAAGAACTCAAGCTTCAATAATTCCTAAGTCCGTAAAAAAAATTTTTTTATTCTGTTTACACGTTAGGGAAGATAAGGGTAAAAAATAAGAATTGTAAATGAAACATGCATTTGTATATTTTGGTGTCTAGAGAACCGCAGTTTGCTGAACTGTACAGACTAAAATATTTCATATGTACTGTTTTCAATTGGTCCTCAGAGAAATGGGAGTTGGTATTCTAGGCTCCACGTCCATAGAAACTGGCAATGTTTGAGGCTCTTGGTTTGGAATGTGTCACTATTTTGTAAGTAGAATCTATAAAAAATGCATTATATGTATACATATAACTCTTCTATTAGACTTTTCAGGAGATTCAATTCAATATACATCTATTAATAACCCACTTCTAGAATTTACAGTATAATTAGAATACTAAATGTGTTCTAATTTTAAATACTATTTAAACAGTATTCAAGCAGAAACAATTGTTTTAAAAGTTGCTCTTTCTCAGCCAAGTCACAGCTGTTTTAATACATAGAATAGTCCAGATTCTTTTTACTTCATATAAAATAAATAACGAATCTAATGTTCCCAGATATGAAAGCTAGGTAGTGCCGGAAGCAGCAAATTTGGCCATGTGAAGCTTTTACGAATTCTGCCCCCATGCCACCTTTGGCACGACAAGTGTGACACCCTCTAGCCACCACACCAGGAGCATTATGTGCACAGCGGGCCTGACCCCCTTTAGGACAAAACACCCCAGATGCACCTTCTGGGCGACTGCTCAGATCTCACATGAGCACCGGACATGCCCCAAGAGAAAAAGCCAAGATGCTAAGAGGTCAAGAGGATTGTGGCTTTATCTGTAAGGTTTTGTTTTAACAAAGAGATGGCATGCATGTTATACACGGGCGATAAAAAATGAATCTGAACATGGCTCTGGTGAAGAAGAAAGACTGTACTTAGCTATGAGAAAGGAGGCAAGATCATTAGAAAAATGAGTGATTCTCAGGCCTGAGGAATGGTCTCAAGATAGAGGGATTGCCAGTGAAATCTGCTCAGTGAATGCATTGCTAAATACTTTGAAACAGAGGAAACACAGATTGGATGGGTGGGTGGGTGGATGGATGGACGGACGGACGGACGGACAGATGGATGCACGGATGGATGGATGGATGGATGAATGTGGATGGATGGATGCATGGATGGATGCACGGATGGATGGATGCACGGATGGATGGATAGATGAGTGGATGGATGCACGGATGGATGGATGCACGGATGGATGGATGGATGGATGGATGGATGGATGGATGGATGAGTGGATGGATAGATGAGTGGATGGATGCATGGATGGATGCACGGATGGATGGATGCACGGATGGATGGATGCACGGATGGATGGATGGATGGATAGATGAGTGGATGGATGCATGGATGGATGAATGGATGGATGGATGCACGGATGGATGGATGGATGGATGGATGGATGGATGGATGGATGGATAGATGAGTGGATGGATGCATGGATGGATGAATGGATGGATGGATGCACGAATGGATGGATAGATAGGCAGACAGATAGACAGTGACAGACAGAAGTAGAAAACCAGTCCTATGCACTCAGTTTCTTTTCCATCCAAGGCCTGCACATTAACTACAGGATCTAACTTCTAGCCAATGGAAAGGGTAAGGCTGAATGTTTCCCTAGCACAGAACTGTTTAGGCTTAAGAAATCCCTCTTCAATGCACCTGCTGGGCAGATGCACCTAATATGCTTCCAAGCCAAGCATCTCCACTTCAGGTTATCCTTTGTGGTGGTCACTGGAGAGCAGACCCTGAAAGTACACCACAAACTTAAAAAAGAATCTTCTCTGGGGTTTTAAAATGCTGTTGGTTAGTTACTGGGTGGTTATTTAATTTATTTATTTGTATGCCTTTCCATCTTCACTCATCTATGGCCCTTCCTGCTCCCAGAGAGAAAGGGGAAGCCCTTGAGCAGAGGTTGGGCGGACACTCCATCTGGTTGTGTCGCACTAGACAGTTTGCCGAGCGTGACCCACGCTGTGCCAGAGCCTCCACCAGGCTTGCTGGGTTTCTACTCC